CGACTATCAAGGACAGGTAAGTACTAGAAAGTGTGTCTTGCTTCTATAGTTGCTGCAAATTCCTTACATTCAGGATGTTTTGGGTACCGTGGAGCTTACTTTACTTTTACGCGGCTTGCATGTGCTCCTTTGTTTGGATCATTCATTTATCTAGACACATTCTTTTGGAAAGGGAGTACGATTGGACGAAGTGAGTTATTATTATGCATCCTTATATATATTTCTCACTATCCGTAGTATACTGTATTTTTTTGAAGGTTCCCTAGAGAGCTTCTTTGCTCAGTTTTGGCTGGTACACTATCCTTCTGGTTGGGGACTGTCCAGTTTTCGCTTTTCTATTATCCACTTCATGACTTTTTCGGCGTAAGTTTTTCAAATTTCACATGCTTGTTCCCAGTGGATCATAAGACTTTTTTATGATTTCACTTTGAATTCTTGCTAGTGTCGCTAAAACTTGGCTTGTCAGATCCATACCGAAATTACCACTGTACTCTTCTTTTCTCTCTATGCTGCCATAGTTTTCGTGGCTGATAGGAACAATTTTGGTGCAGACGCAAGGACAGGTTCGTTGTGACTGAAAAGAAGTTATGCCTAATAGAGGATTTCAAATAGATTTTTGATTCTGAAGTTTCCACATAGAAAAAAAAAGTAAAATAGAAGCTAGAAGCTGCCTTAATAGTTTTTTGTGTGTCTGTTTAGGACCCCGTTTCTGGTTCGACGAATTATCGTGTGCCATCTGTTTGGAGTACATATTTTTGATGGTTCTTGTTGTCATTTCCGATCCTTTGAACATTGTTAGCGAGGTATTGTTTTTGCATAATTATATATTTTGAAGGCCGTAACACGTTAAGTACTATCTGATATCGTTTATTTTTCATTTACTTTTCATACCTAAAATTTTTACAGGTGAAAGTGTTTAGGGTATCCATCAAGCTATTGGACCGTGCAAGCAAATGGAAGAAGTTAATAGCCCTGCTGGTCTTGTGAGTTTTCTTTTATTCCTATTTCTGTACTTTGATTTGAGGATATATTTCGGTTCCTCATGGGCAGAACGATTCTCGCTATACCATCATCCAGTATAAGGATATGCTGTATTTTGTAAAGATGTAGGTGCAAGGCTATTTACCAGCAATAACGAGTTTGAGCACCGACTGAAAATAAATTGGTGGGGTCTATATTGTAATGATAGTTGATACATGGGTATGTTCTAGGTGAAAAGCTGGAGCTTAGTTTGTCGCTGCTGCCGTTTTATTGCTTTTCTTACATATTTGCTCCAACGCGATCGTGCGCTCTCATATGATTTGGTTTTAAGAATTTATTATTTTTGTGGATTCTTGTGTGGTCCAAATTACCACTACAGAAAGCGCTAGTCTCTAATCCAGTGCGGAAATCCCTACGGCAGCACTCAGTTCGACTGGCTTCAATCATTTGCTCCAGAATTCATGTGCGCTGTGCTCAAGGTTATCATTAAGGTTCTACAAAGAGAAAAATATCTCTGCGCTACAAGATACGACGAAAAATACTTTGACTTCCACTGTGTGCCAAATGGTCCTCCAAAGCAGGTATAATATTATTTTATTCTTGAATGGGCAAGGCTAAGGATGCGTCAGATTCGCCACATCGGCTATAGTTTCGACGAGGTGACAGCGATGACGTGACCGTACCCATGCCCACTCTTATAAATAGTGGCCACTGCATTTCATGTTGTTCAGCAGGATGATGGCTCGGGCAAACTCCTTCCTTTGGAGTACTATCCACTATGTGGAACGGATTTCGAGAATCGGGCTGAGTACATAGTAGTAATCTGGTAGGACTGTTTTGGTTAGAGTTGAATATTGCGAATCAAGATATTGTTCTCAATTAGGGGTTGTTGCATTCTCTTCGGCTTCTTCTTCTATCAGATGGCGGCGTGCTCTGGCTCCACACCTGTAGATCCTGTTAAGGTTTGTTGACAGCGCTATCTTATTGGTAATTCTTCAGTTACTTGGAAGATACAGAGCCTGATTTCCGTAGAGGATGAGCACGAATTTGAGTTCAACCTGCTTCTGACCTCTTCCCTTTGCTCTTGTTACCTGTTCCCTGATTTCAGATACGCAGACGTGTTTTACGCCAATATAAACCACTGTCGAGGGATCGCAGCGCCGAAAATGCTCCTACGTCATCCAACTATGACGACAGAGCTTATCAGCGGGAGTCATTCTTAAATTCCGAGGTTAAGAAAACGCAATGATGTTTTTCTTGTTATTTCAAAATTCATAATAAAATTCGATCTCTTGTTTAAAACGAACTACAATTTTTCCATGGCGTAGCCAGAAAATTAGGAATATTTTGTTTTTATAGAACGGTAAAACATTGGTGGTATCATAATACGTAACTATGTTTGTGCTGTAACTATCATTCTCCGAACACAACATCACCATATGCGTTACGAATGTTTTTCAAGAAGAACATACCATTTTGGTCGTTTACGGCGCAGCCGCAACCTTGTTCGTAAACCTCACTCATCAGGAATCCTTAAGCATGGCTCGCCTATTTATTTACTTTGATTGTGTCGAAAGCTGTTATTGCTTGCTTCAATCCGCTTTGCTTTTTGTCCTTCACTGATTTTCCTTTGTTATAACCCATTGCTTTAAAGCAGGCGTTTTGGAAAGATCATTCTCGAGATTTTTTTCAAGGAAAAATGTGTTTTGAGGAAGTGTCAAAAGGATACCTAAAGCAATTTAGACCGGTAGATGCCAAATGAGCCTGGTTTCGGCTTCGCAGGCTATTTTATTTTTTTCAAAATCGATCGTGACCCTGGGCTTTGGGTACACTGCTGTTTTGCTAAGCCCAGTCGAAATCATTGCATTATTTCTGGAAATCAGTTTTTCCAATTCAAATAAGAATTCTTCGTAGAACTCGGCAAAAAACCCAAAGCTGTGTGACCCAATGGGGACCTTTCCTCAAGCAGCGTTCGCACTTATTCGCCCAGCTAACCTTAAATGGACACGAATACGTTTGCATGCTTTTTTATCCTGCATGTTGCTTCGCTTTTTTTTCAGCTTGACGCTTTTAAGAAGCCAATCGTCTCAACCAAAGCGAAAGCGGTCAAGAATAGGCTGAGATCCTCTTCTGTGAAGGCACCGAAAAGAGTTGTTCAACGCAAGAAGAATGCACCCGAGACAGCTCATCTGCTTCGTTCGGTTAGTCACAACCTATAAGTTGATCGTTTATAGCACTGCACGGCTTGATTTCCTCCGAAGTTAATATTACATTCTTCAAAAGAAGTTCTTGTCCTCATTTGTTCATGACATTATTCTATGTGAACTCCTTCAAGATGCTGTGTGAACTCCTTCAAGATGCTGTTTTCTTGATGACGTTTACTCTTAACTGTACGAGAAGCGCTCATATATTGGTTAAGAATTGTCCTTGTCCCTTTACGCTTATGTTTATGGGTAATGTCCACGGGGTAAAATAAGATCTCGGAAAAGTTTGGATACAACATGTCTTCTTTATGTAGCACTTTTTACCTCTTCATATCACTTGTTTGTCATCCGTTGTTTGCATGCTTCCATTCCCTGAGCTTTTATTTGGATTTTGAAGAAGTTTTTTAAATGAAGTACTGTAGTTACTCTAAAATGGGTTGAAACACGGATTCATACTACAGAGTCACGGAGTGAGTTGTTCGCGATTAAACAACGACACATTAGAGGCGAACAACAAAAAGGTGCCTTGCTGCTATCCTCTGCTTCGTACAGAAACGACCACATTGACAACAACTAATAGAGCTAGTCCTTCAACAATTCTCTCGTTCCCCTTAAGGCACTAAATAAATGGTTTTAGACACCCTGAATTTTGGATTTCCTCGGTCAGCGAACTGGTGCGCCAACGATCCTCCTTTTTAAGACCTTGATATCTACGAACTAGGCCAAGCTGGCAGTGCGAGTAGCGGTTGAGTATCCCTCACCAAGCCTCAAGTAATCTGACATAAGCTTGCTCTGACGCAGTTCTTGTTTCGGACGTGTAGGTTTTTTTCGCGCCGGTGGCGAAAAGGGGTTTATTAGATTGTAACATCATGAACCTTGACCTCAAGGCCTGCTATTACGAGCACCAATACTGTTGTCTTCGCAGTGCATGTTAGAAGAAAACTCAGAGGTGGTATAAAATTAACAAGGAAGAGAATAAAACTAGAACATAGCTCTTTGTTTGATTGCCACGAACAGGTAATCCATTTTCGACGGTTTAAGAGTGTGGGCGCATTCTTAGTACAGGTAGGTCATGGAAGAGCAAGTGCCAATTGACAAGCTTTATCGCTGAAGACGGGTAGCGGCGAGACGCTAAAGAAATGAGCTCTAATTAGTTTTGAGAAGGTAAAAAAAGAAAAGGAAGAAACGCGATTATGTCGCAAGCCAACAAATCATGCCTGAACTGTATCTAAGGGCAAGTTGGAAAACGAATATTGATGATTAGATATCGTTGGCAACTGTCTTCCATAGAAAGGAAAATTTAGGTTTATCTGTTTTCTGCCATTCCCTAAGTGCTTCGAGGAAGTAATCGTCCCACAGGTATCATGGCGGACGCTAGGTGACGCGTTGTTTCACGTCAAAACTGTTCCCCCTTCTCGCGATGCGCCGAAAGTGGGAAGGGTAAGCAACGGCGCATGTATGTTCTGGCAGTATAAACGGTCCCTGACGTTACGTCGAGCATTTACCTCGTGCCTTTCTGCGCACGAATATCACGAACAAATAGCAAATAGCACGAACAAGAAAACTCATAATTTACCTGGATAACACTTTAACAACATTAAAAGTTTCACATGTTAATAGGGGAAACTGTCATAATATTAAGATCTAATGTAAATTACAAACTAACAAATTTGACACAAATTAAGGTAACCCGCAAGAAATGCACAACAATATTGAGATGATCCGTATTTGTTAGTCTCACTGAGTATCCATATATGTTGCCTGTGATGAAGTAAAAGATTGGCATGTATGTGGGGCAATGGGATCAGCTACGAAATGGTAAGTAAAAACAACAAGAGCACCTCACGTACTCGCGTTTTTCACTTCGGNAGACTGAGATCCTCTTCTGTGAAGGCACCGAAAAAGGTTGTTCAACGCAAGAAGAATGCACCCGAGACAGCTCATCTGCTGCGTTCGGTTAGTCACAACCTATAAGTTGATCGTTTATA